GGGGCTTGGCAGGGGTCCCCCCATGGTCCCCCTCTCCCCTCCTTTAGCCTCCCCTCCTCTGCCCCCTACTTACCAGCATGGTGTCTGGCTCTAGCTCCTTGCTGCAGTGAGTGGAGACTGCCTGAATTGCTGAAGATCTCCAAATCTTTTCCAAATTGATTCAGAAAGCTTCAAATTGATTCAGACCTTTTAACTGGTCCCCTGATTTGATTCAGATTCAGAGATTCGGCCACTGAATAGAGCCAAATGTCCTCTGAATCGAATCAGCACCCGAAGCTTTGCACAGCCCTACTAATTATCAGGTGTAAAAAAAAAAATAAGGAATAGCTATTTATAAGAGCAAGAAGAGAAAATCCATAAACAGTGATGACTTTTTTTTTTTTGTAATTAATTGTTATAAAAACTTTCTTTCTTTTTAATACTTTTGTTGATGTTAATTACCTGGGTGTCCCTTGGCTAGTCATTTGCATTATTCTTTACAAAATTATACTTTGGGAGTAGGTGGGGTGGGAGAGTAAGTTCATTTGGTGCTACATTATTTCTGAAAGAAATGTTTGTTTTGCAAGGTCATCATGCTATCAAAATCTGATAAAATATTGGGTTTAGCCACTAGGGTTATAGAGAATAGGCATAAATAGGACTTCTATTACTCACATAAAATAATAGACTCATAGAAAAGTAGGGCATGAAGGGACCTCCAGAAGTCATTCAGTTCAAAACTGTACTTGAGGCAGGACCATCCCTATCATAACTGCCCTATACAAATCAATTGCCTAATCTATTAGCAAAACTAAACCGTTAACCCTGGCACAGTCACAAGATAATATCCTAACTTGCCACAGGTAAAGAGGGGGACGATGGTGGCCAAAGTTCTGCTGCCACAAAGGTTGTTAAAATAAGCTTGAGAGATGTGAGGAAAAGGACCATATCCCCCACTATAGAAGAAGGCAAAAACTCCCACAGCCCATACCAGTCTGACCATGGGATAAAATTCCTTTTTCACCCCAAATATGGTGATTGGTTTGACTCTGTGCAGGGGCCAAGATCCTCTAGCCAGAAATCTCCAGGCTTAAGTCCCAGAAGGAGCACTGACACACCCCAGTCAAAATTCCCCTACTTGGCTGCAGCCAATAACCAATGTCCCCACCCCTGACACTTGTAGCAGCAGGAGGGGAAAAAAATCCTTCCTGGCCTCATGTGGCACCTGGTAAAGTGCAGAAGCATGGGAAGTACCCATAGGAGAGCATAGGCATAGCTACATCTAGATCTTCACCAACCAGTGGCTATCTAATGTCTTCTTGAATACCTCCAGTAACAGAGAGCCCAGAACTTCCCTAGGCAGTTTATTCTATGGCCTTACATTTCTAACTGAAGAAGTTCTTATGGATATCCAATCTGTAACTATTTTTCTGTCCTGTCAAGCCATTGGTTCATGTCCTGAACTCTGCAGTAAGAGAGAAAAGGTGTTTTTCCTTCTCTTTGGGTACAGACACCATTGCAGTCCCTGCTGTAACTGAAAATGCTTTGCAGGAAGAGTTCTGAGCTACAATGATCCACTGGACCAAACCAAAGTTCACTGTTGCTTCCAGCTGGGGAGGGGAATCTAGCTGCTGGCTGTGAGGCTGCAGCTGGTTTCCCCTAGCAATGGCCCCTGTTTAAGAATGGGAAGGGGTCAATGGAGCAGGGGGAGCTCATTCCAGGGGTTCCCCAGCCAGTGCTGCAGAGTGAGGTGGGTGAATAGGAGCCACCCCCCCCACCTCAGGAGAGACTCCAATATACCTGCCCCACCCTCCCATGGGGGCTCAAAACCCCTCAGACTAAACTCTTTCTGTTTCCTTTCACCCCTCCCATTCTGAAAACAGGAACAGGCTGGCAGAAAGTTACAGAAGATACTGTTTTGAAATGTCTATATCTGACCCTTCATACAATGAGGGTTCAGATTTTTACCCGATTGGGCATTTTTAAAGCTGTCTGAATCCGTGCACTTGTTTCATCATGGCTATAGACCACTTTCTGTGTCCAGATCAGGTGAAAACTGTCACTTCTGTCTGTGCCCTTTATGGCAGCCCTTCAGGTATTTGAAGACTGTTATCACATTCCCTCTTAAGCACCTTTTCTGCAAGCTGAACATGCCTGTTTCCTTCAGTCTCTCATTGTATGACCTGCCTGCCAAGCCCTTTATCATTTTTGTTGTCCACCTTTGGACACTTTCCAAATTCTCTGTCCTTTTTAAAATGTAGAATCCAAAACTGTATTGAAGAGGAAACCTAACCAGCACTGCATAAACAGGCACTATTGCTTCCTTTGTCTTGCACCTAATGCTTCTGTTCATGCATCTCAAAACCACATTAACTTTTTATACAGCTACATTACACATCATTTAGAGTCTGTGATCCACCAAGACTCCCAGATTCTTTTCCATAGCGCTGCCATCTAGACATGTCACACGTTTTGTATTAGTGGCTTTGATTATTCCTCCTGAGGGTGTAGCACCTTGCTTCATCCTCTTAGCTCTAGCTCAGCTTTCCAATCTGTCAAGATCCTTCTGAATTGTGTTCCTGTTCTCCAGTGTGTTTGTCATGAGTGACTGGTGCTTCCTGAATCTGGGGGGCACCCGCAGAAGCCGCTGACCCTGTTGGGGGGGCACCAGCCCTACTGACAACATCTGTTTCGGCTGTCGGGGGGCACTGGCCCCGTCAGGGGGCGAACATGTACCCCCGTGCACCCCCTACCAGTTGCCTGTATTGTCTGTAGTCCTTCCCATTTCATGTCACCTGGAAAGTTCATGTTAGGTTGTGCAAAACTTCACACCTTATCACCATATGTTGTTTTGTTTGTTTCTTTGGGGTTTTTTAAATAAAAAAGTTAAGTTTTGATGACTTTGAACTCTTAGGGATTCATGCATGTGTCATCACAAAACTTTTTTCTGTGAGACAATACTACTGCTTCTTTGATCATGTTATGCATTTCATAGTACTTCATAGTACAAGAGATGAGCTCAAACTTTCATGAACATTCATCTTCATGGGTTTTGATTCTAAAGTCTCCTAACGCAGTAGAACAAATGTTTCCTTCTGTATAGTTAGAGTGAAAGTTTATTCATGTTTGTTCATAATATAGCCCTGTAGAAAAAAAGAGAAGAACTGGGGGGGCAGGGGAGGAGAATGGGTGGATTACTGTTTGTAATGACATTCCTTCCAGCAAAACATTTTAATGCTAAAGAGTACAGTATACTCTCACACTAAATTGCACCTTCTATCTCAGGGCTAGAGCATTCCAGAGTTAACAATTCAAAAAAAGAAATTTCCAAAATTTTTAGTCACTTAAGAAAATCTTGGAATAGGATGACTAAATATTCTGCAAAATAACCTAGAGTTTCTTCAAGTTGTTCTAGTTACTGTATGCACAGGGTATCCATAAAAACTCTTGCACTGGATGCAAATTTAGTTACATTTGAAAGTTACAGCAAAATGACATTGTAAAGATTAATGACCTTCTGATTTCTAGCACATGATGCTTTTGTAATGACATTGATTGTATCACTGTAACTGTTACACTGATCAATTTGAAGAGTTGTTTTACTGTATTGTGCAGCAATGTCCTTGGGTTAGGTTTTGCTCTTAAATTAATGAAGTCAGTTCTGCATCTTTCAAATAACTAATAGCAGACAGTCTCATTCGTCCAAATACAAGCTTCTTTTTGTTCTAAATACCAATGGGAATTCCTGTGTTACTTTATAGGTT